ACAAATATTTTAAAACCAAACAGACGCTGCTGACCAGTAGTCTGTATAATTTCACTGAGTGGTTTGCAATGAACTGGAGAAATGCTTCTCATTCCAACGAAGCACTTGTCCTCATTCTGTATGCAAAATTGGGCGGGAAAATGATGTAACTTTACCAATGAATGGCCTAGGCTCTAAGCATGTAGGGAGTGACTGTGTTCAGCTACTCTAAAGTACTGAGCCGGGTGTGGAATGATCAAGAAAACGCCTGACTGGATCATCTGCCAGGCATGGCTAAAATTTCACCCAATGGTAGACATGTGAGGTTCTACTTTAATGATGAGAGTTCAACCGTGTTTAGCTATCTCATTCTGTATATTGTATTTGTCTAGATGTTGTGCCCTTTCTTTAGCGTGAAATGATGTCCCACGTGTTAAATATATACATGCATCTATCCATTCGCCATAATTATCTAGAAGTCGAAACAGCAAGAATAAAATTTTTAGCAGGATGCACTTAATTCAGCTATTTCATACGCTCTCGTCAGCGGTTTACATATATACCGTGAAAAGATCGCGTTACGTACAGAAGAAAAACCCTCTGCAAAGTCATTTATTTCAAGGGAAAATGATCATCACTCTTACTAAGACGAGACTGGTCGTATATATAGCCATCTTGCATAAATTGGGATTTGACCGCCAAATTGCTGAAGCCTCGACAAACTGACGCCATCGGGTATATCTCTGCAAGTTACTTACTTTAAATGAACCAAGAGGAAGTTGGTACGCAGTGCCAAGATGTATTGCGCAATGGAAATGGAGGGGAGTTCGCGACCGTTGGGGTAAATGTTTCACTGAATTTGATCTGAAATCTTATTGGACAGACTGCTCTCAATACGGCCAACCTAGTTCCAACCACAAGTAAATTAGACGAGATAACATCAAGTGGCGTTACATTGAGAGTATGACTTGTCTGTTTTGGGTCTACAGAGCAACTTCTTACCTTGGTGTTTTAACACCGCTTTGGCCACGTGATAACTTTTTAAGGGTTCAATACGCTGCCGTTTTAGAGGGAGCGTATTGATGGAATATTTTGACCCCGCCGCCGCCAGGCAATAGATTAATGTTATTATGCGGCCGAACAGGTATTATAGCACTTGGGCAAGCCAGACACCTAAAGTATCTCATAATGGGTTTATCGCCTCCACTTCCTCCTATGGCTATTAGTCAAAGCATAGTATGATATTCAGCGTGCACGTATACACCCATGTTTGCAAGTTCATCACTTTCCCTGTAATTGCGGTCCTTCCAAGTAATTGCGCATCTAGTTTCAATATTTTCCACATATCACACTTCTAGAGAAGAATACCACAAGCTTGGGGCGAGACTAATGTCCAGTCGTAGAGACGCTGGGCTCAAAATCCATAGAAAATGATCGGAAGATTTTATAGCTTTTTAAATAAGCTTTAACTAACAATGCTGACATATCGATATAGGAAATATACACAACCTGCAGTTTTTCCGTTACCTTCAATCCTTCCTTCCACATAATATACCATGGATGATATCTCCGAACCCAATAAACGTAAAATGACCATTTAAGACATTGGTAGTCTTTATGAAAGATAACAAGTTATATCATAAATAAATTGAAACCTACATCGGTAATGCTCATCTTTTTATTTCCATGTGCTAAACCACTTAATCCCTGTAATTATTCTTATTTATTAAGATAATGGGAGAGCATTTATTATATTTAATTCATTGGCATCTGCTCTATTTGTGTTCATTTTCATACAAAATATAGAGAGGTGTGTTAATTTTTACTGATTTATCTCAGTTATGTTTGAGGTAGTCACGGTTGGTCATTAAACCCCGCTCTACTAAGCTGCACTGCCACCAACGAATAGCGGTTGAGGAATACTCCATCTGTGTCGCCAAGGTAGGTAGCATTTGGCTATAAATGCTGTATCCCAAAATGTTTTGAAGGCATTTTATAGAAACGCTCTGACAATTTCGCATAAGGAACTCGGAATATGGCTTCACTGATGCCGTGAAACATGCCATCGCTTCCGGCGGTGTTAAACAAGTGAGATGTTTACCAATATTAATTTCAGCTCAACAGCAGAGAAGGAGAAGAATCGATGCTCGATCGTTCGCCGGAGATAAATCCATTCCGACTCCCCACGTACTCATGGACATTACTTATTGATCACATGAAAAAGGATGATAGTGGACGGTTGTACGTGAGAATACAGACATCTCAAGCAACAGACCCAAAAGCACTTTATGCGTCCCTACATAAACGATGTACTGTTTGACTAGTTGGGTGGCCCATCGTTTTTTTAGCGTTTTCGACGTTGCTTCTGGCTATTGGCGGTTCAAGTATTTAGAGATCAGTCGGTACCAACTGCCCTTATCCCGACATGGCCTGTAAGATTTCCACACAATAAGCTTTGTGCAGACTAATGCCACTGCGACGCATTTTCATACTATGTGGAATGTATTATATAAACTGATCCTTAGAAGTTGCACCTCATAATTGACGGATATCTTGCGTTAGGAAACAAGGCGCAAATGCAAGCATCATCTGGCAAAATTACCAAAACAGATGGATTCACTTTCAAACTATCGTTTTGTTACTTATTGTGACAAGAAGTGGTCTACTAAAATTTATTATTGTTGTGGTCTGACGTCCGATTGAACAAAATAAGCAAAGATATGTGAAGTCTTGTCGAGTAACTTCAAGCCATAAACACTTACTTAGTTCAACCGGATTGTCTTGATATTATTTTGATTAATCAACGTATTTCAGAGATCGCCGCTCACCTCAACGCATTAATGTAAAGGGCTTCAACTTTTGAAAAAGTCGTACGATTTCAGAAAGCACTCAGCTGGCTGTGTGTTTCCTTGCAGAGACACCTTGTTGATGTGTCTGACTTGCAGCCTTGGATGAGAATCCAGTTTAGACACGGATGTGAGTGGCAAGGTGATTAAAAACATTTTTTTACAGAAAGAATCCGAATAAATGATACTAATCCGTACCTTGGCGACGCAGGCGCCTCAGCTTAAGAGAATTTTTTTAATCATTCATTAAAAGGTAAATGCTAACTCTGGCTTTATTTATAAAACAGAATCGGCCGTAGCTGGTTGGCAAGAGCTTTATGGAACTAGTTGAAAAATAGTCCCATAGATCGTCACGTACTTTTCTGGATGCTAACTGACAAATCGAGCACAAAGAGCAACAGTTATATTAAGATGAATTCGCATAAATATACCAGCCGCTTAGATTCATATTGGCGCTGTTTCGTTCGGTTCCTACACAACCTCATTTGACGCACTCAGTTTATCCGTACGAAGTTAGGCGCCCCACTCAGGAACAACATGGATTCTGCCTTAATCGATTGTACGCTACCAAACTACTGATAGCACAACACAGGTGGACCACATCAGTAAATATTAGTGTGGGAGTACTTATTATCTATGGCGAATTCTTTAGGCTATGCGACAGGTTGTACTACTGCATTCCTCTCGCCATGCTTCAAAGATGCTTCACTAACGAGCTCCTACTGACGTGAATTACAATATTGAACTTGAACATGCGTCTTGACATAATGGTGTGCGAATCCGGGTAAGACCCCATCCAACTTGAATCCGACGAGCAAGCCTTATGTCTCAAACCACTTACTTTGTGCTAGCCATACTGAAATTTGACAATTCACCAAAGTTCGATAATTGCGCGCAACAACAACAAGACAATGGGATTGGTTTGGTAGATTTGTGGGTTACTAATTGTATATCGAGAATTGTCTTCATCTCCATCTAATTATGAATTGAGGAAAGGATTTACGATTCTAATTGTCTTCCACTTGTAAGCTGCGTAACGAAAATCTTCAACATTGTACCGGTGGGAAGGGTTACACTTTGCATGTTCGCGAGAAGCAAAGATGCTAACACCAACCATAAATATAATCAAACATGGCGGCACAGTATTGGGCTCTTACAGAATGTCTCTGATCTTTTGGGCGCAATTATTTCCAGCCCTTAAAAATGTCGCTGTATGCATCTACTGGTATGTAAAATATGAGGTGCGGACATGGCAGCCTTGACAGAGGCGTGATTTCACCGTCCATGGTCCAGAAACGTCAAGGAGCTGATCCATTTATTTTTTAGTTTTCTATTTGCTTTTGGCTCAGTGACAGACTTGCCAAGAAATTTTGGCGGATGCCATTTGCATTTCTGTGGTGAACTGATGGTTGATTAACTGACGTTAATCATCTGTAATCCCGCGTGGTAGCAAATGTTTACTAAGCGTCGTAACATGAATCTTAAGTGCGAAGATCAACGACTGGATAAAAATATGGCAGCTTGCATTATCTACAAAATTTTGTCTAATTTGCGTTTGGCCCGCCTGGCATCCCCTACTATATCAGATTCTTAGACAGTATGTTGACTGTGTTTACTTTTGAAAGTGCGGTGCTCACATTGTATCGCATTAAATAACAAACATGGCACATTTGAACGTCAAGAAAAAGAAACAACTACCAGCAGTATTTTTCTAGCAAAACTAAAGTCACCGTAATCTTCTAACGAGCAAGCAGTCATGGACGTACGAGCAGATAGACAAACATTTCACCGGTAAATTGTCAAATCCTGGTTGACATTTAGAGCTATTTACACTCTAAGACACGTATCCAATTTATAAATCTGTTTTATATGTTCAGCTTCAAATATTACACCAATAACGAACCTCTGAATTTGTGTATTAAACACTGAATGTTCAAAGATTCACAAAGACGTAGTGGCATGGTATGAGCCATCGCGTGCGAAATAAGACATTCGATCGACCGGTTGATATAACAGATTGGCCTAAGATATGTTTATCATCTAAAAGTGGACATTTTTGAATGGAAAATGCGACAGGTGAAAACGACAGAAATAAAATAGTAAACGGTCTACACGAATTAAAACTCGAAACTACTGTTTAGAGAGTGCGATGCAGATGAATTGAAAGAGACTTACTCTCTGAAAAGGAGGCATAAATATTTGTCAACGACATCTCAAAAATTGTCTCTGTGTACACAACCGTCATCGTTTTGCTATTTGAGACAATGCCGTTTGGTGGAATGCTGGAATGATAAGAAAGCTCTGACAGCGTAGCGCCTCCACAGTTGATTCCGTCTAACACACGCAACCGAGATTTGGAGGTTGGCATCTGTTGAGAATAAGATTGCGATTATTCAATTCAGAGCTGGCAAATAGTGTTATTTAAAGTAGGTAACATAAAATAGTTCCATTACTGGCCACATAAGTAGATGCAGCATCTGAAAAGGTGTTCTAACATTATGACAGACTTTAGTTGTTCAATTTTTGCACGATAAACTCTCGTATCACGCATGTTTTTGAGCGCGCATGACGTGCGCGCTCCTGGTTCATTTGGATTATCCCTCTCTATCCTCTCTCCATCTTTCCGCAGCGCTGTAAGCTATACACCCATTTGAACTGGATTTACAAGCCCTACACTGTGATCCATCATAAGTAGAATTATCTTCTACGATTAGAGGCTGCGCCATCACTAATCTTTTTCATAGGCATCCGTGATTAAGCGCAAGCGCTTAACTCAATCCCGTTGAGCTGTTTGCCTATATGTGTGTGACACCATTCGATACAGAATTCTCGAGGCAGACCGAGAAGCTTAAGCTTATTCCAATCCAGTGTTTCTCAACACAGCTGCGAAAGAATTTGTGATCTGTCAATCTGTGTTCAGCGCTCTCTTCAGGTTAGGGTCAATCGCCATTCCTTTTGAACTTGTCAGCCAGTGCACATGCGTAACCCATCACACGGACCGCGTGACCACGCCGACCGCTCGTTTGACCTTGCAACCAAAACTCTCGCCTGACAGACGTGAGCCGCTCTCAAAGCTATAAAGCAAAGAATGCTAACTAACCCACTGGGTCAGGTGATGACACCAAATGGAATGGCAGAAATGCGAAAACGAAGAGGTTATAAGCGAAAGGCACTTGTGGGTTAGGAGAATGCCATCGAGTAGTAAAAATCGGTCTGGATTGCTTGCACTGTTTGGAATGGTATCATACGAAATGTGCAAAAGTGTCCCAAAAACAGGTACGAGAGCGAAATAGCTCCCAAGGTGCATTTTGGTTCTGTATTGCGTGTTCCACCATCCCCCTCGTTAAGTGCTTGATTATCTTAGCTCAGAAATTCGACCAGTTAACCGCAGAAACAGAACAGAAGACAAACGATAAGATTACTTTAATGGAAGCGGGTATGCATCACATAAGCGTAGCGGCTTCTTAGCAACGGAACTATGAAAAACTCGCTTCCTCTGAACCGCAATTATCCACGTCTCCATCTCCGTTTTCTTCTCTAACTTTGGTAGAACGCCAGGCGAAAACAGACCGTACCTACGAGAGTCAAACAGTACTCACGTCAACGAAAATCAGGCACCACACGAAACGCCTGGTTAAGCAAATTCCACTAGACCTGACATCTAGCATTAACAAGGATGAAGCAGCCAAACACCAACGCTCGCTACCTGTAGCTCAAATATCTTTTGTCTAGACTAAACATTCCAAAACTTCAGTTAACTGTGCAGAGACTGCTGCAAAGGTCCACCGAGAGGCCGCTGTTGCGGCCTATTCCATTGTAAACACCGTTAACGCGAATAGAGGGACAAACAGCAAATAATCAACACTTGTCATCAGGTCAGGACAAACGAGCACCTTACTTTGTAGATCAAGGAAAACACGGATCCAACGACAGTGCCCAGACTGTTGTATGCTCAAATGTCCCTGAATCTACCGCCATCATATTGCGGGATAAGTTATTGGATGACCAAATCCAGTGGAACTCATTGCACATGCAGACGTGTAACAAAGCCAAGCCCATAAAATTAGTAAGAATTACTCGTCAGTCGAAATCACCACATTATGGAGAACCCAGACTCATTCGAGTTACACTAGAATTCTCCACGGACGTAGAAAACGTTTTGCTCTTCTCAAGCGCGCTAAAACACGGATCCTGTGGGATACGTATCTCTCCTGATGTCCATTGGAGCGCGCAACAATCAAAAGGAAACACCGAAGAGGGGCAGAGCATGCAAGAACGTCGAAAAGCAATGTTCGCACATGGCGTGCCAGAACATCCTACTAACGATGTTCAAGAGACCGGAAAGCACGATTTAGAACAGTGACGGTTCATTTATGAAACAATTTCTTTGGATAATATTGTAATGATATCGCTCACCAATATATCTCTCTCATCAACCTATAAAAAATGCGACCCCAGAATCCTAAAACCTCTGCTTCAGTCAAAGCAACAAGCAACGGATGTTCTAGATCGATGGCGGAGGAATCGGAAACATCTACCTACAGAAATTCGGTTAAAGGCCGCAAACGCTTTGCCCAACTCAAATATTAAAGCAACTGAAGCAGCAGGCATACCAAAGAAGCGCAACTTAAATGCTGTTTTAAATGTCTCTGACGTAGTTCTAACCGAAGGTTAGGACGCACCTTGGCCGAATGCAGTTGCGAACAAGGTATCATCAACCCATCAAAAAACGAGTAACTGCCGACTTCCCATCGGTCGGCATCCTCCCACACTGACCCTTCACCTCTCTGTGGGCACCTAGAGACAGAGAAACTGGCGTGCTTGTATACGAATGTTCAAGGTCCTTAAAACAACCTGGTCGAACTGAAAGATCGCCAAGCTTCCGGGTCAAATGATGTCGGTCGTATTTCCGAGACTTCGTTAACACGGGAAAGACGGACGCTGAAGTATCGCTACCGGACATGTGGCTGGTCCTGAACGATATGCTTACAAAACGAGGATGGGTAATCCTCTAGTATCGTTACGACTTAGAGTGCAACGACGTTGAGGATTCAGACTCGCAGTTCCCCGAATCTCTATGGTGCCGTTTGCAGTTAAAAGGCACGGAAGTTTGCCTTATGATCTTGGTGTACCGCGCCTTTTAATCTACACCCGAAGCCTACTACTACCTAGCGGCTGATTTAGGATGCAGTTTACAACAAAAGAACACTCACATTCTTATCAAGCGTGATTTCAATGTACATTAGAATGTCCCGCCACAATCGGAGAACAATTCAAAGCCGATCTACAAGATCTAGTAAACAGTATTCCTCTTCACAATCATCTCACTTTGCGCACTCAGTTCAGAACAGGTAACAGGCCATATGTGCTAGATCTTGTGCATACCAATGAGGAGCATATCATTGATGTGCTGGTTTTAGAATGCCCGTTGGGGCGCATTGATTACGCCGTGATGAGTTTCAACCTCTTTTTACTATGCAGAATATATGAATGAGTACGATGAGACTGTGCGAACCATCATAAGTTACGATCGATTAGCCCAGCTCGTCAACGCCACAACTTGGTCGTTCCTCGAGCAAGAACCCCCGGAAGTCGACTGGCTCAAGTACGTCTAAAAAGTTCGGTCAGGTGATTGCACATGCTTCAGAGCTAAAAGTTTGCTATAAGCGTAAATCAGGTTCTTACGTTAGGAGCAGAACTCGAAAATGGTTGATAGTACGCAACGCAGGATGGAGAGTGTACAGAGAAGCTCTAGGAATAGAAAGTTGGGACAACTACGTAGCACAACGTAAGCACTGCGCTCAACTTTTAAGAGAAGGAAAATCCACCTATCAGCAGAACATCGCAAAAACCTTCAGTGCCAATCACAAATTGCTATACAAGCGTGTCACTAGCCTACAAAATGTAAGGTAAGTATTTCCTTCACTCCGGACGGCTGATAGCCCAACAAGAACGGCTGTGGAAGCAGCAATCGCGCTGCGGATGCAATACGCCCCCACGTTTCAAAGGGTCTTGCCACCAAGCGATCTACCAAGCACTGTCTTCTCCTTGCTATGACTAACCCACATCACTTTTACCGCGGAGGCTCTATTGCAAAAACTGACGTTTTCACGCAAACTCAGCTCACCGGGTGTCGACACCATTCGTCCAGAGGCAATGGAAGCAGCAGCAAGCCAACTGGCAGGACTTTTAGCTTGGTTTTTCTAAGGCTTCTTAGACCAGAACCAAGTTACAGTCATGTGGAGGCTTGGATAATAACCCCAATTCACAGTTGTGGAAGCAGAACTGATCCCTCCAACTACCGCCCAGTATCCCTTCTTCCTATTCTCCCCTAGGTCATAGAATCCATAGTTGTTGATGCACTTGTGTGCTATCTGGAAAACATCATCATCACTACTGAGCAGCACGGTTTTCTTCGACAGCGTCATATACAACGAAGTTACTAATTGCAGGCAGTGGTTGGACCAAGGCAGCTGACGCTGGAGGTGTTTATGTGATCTACCTGGATTTTTCCAAGGTTTTCGATCGTCTGGACCATCGGATACTACTCTCCAGGCTGCAGAATTACGGAATCAGCGATCCTCTTTTAAGCTGGAACGTCAACTTTCTACTTCAACGGCAATTAGTGGTCAGAGTTCGGAGCTCTTTATCGAACCCCATACAAATTGAGTGTGGTGTGCCGCAAGGCTCAGTTCTAGGTCCACTTCTGTTTTTGATGTTTATTAATGACTTTGCACAGGGAATCGCTTCGAACTTCCTAATGTTTGCCGATGATACCAAGAGCTGGCGCAGGATCCAGACGAACGCCGACTAACATGCGCTTCAGGGTGATCTAGATACGGTGTATCCATTCCAACGTGCATTCCAACGTCAGTAAATTCAAGGTGCTTTCCATCCAACATCAGAGCAACTACTCACACCGGCTCGGAACGAATATACTACAACAATCAACTGTCGAACGTGACTTGGGTGTCCTGGTTCAAGATGACTTAGGTTGCTCCAGGCAATCCGAAAAGGTCTCGAAGATCGCGAACCGACACGTCGGGCTGTTGCGACGGGCGTTTGGACAAATAAACAGCTCCATATTTCGACAAATTCTCAGTGCATATGTCCGCCTATGTCGAATACGTAATTCAAGCCTGGTATCCATGACTGAGTCGCGTCCTTAATGAACTGGAGCAGCCACAACGCCGGTCAGCTAAGAACGTAATTGGAATTCGCAATATTTCCCACCACGAGTGACTGCTAAGTTTAGGGTTGTTCAGTGGAAGCTATCACAGACTACGAGGCGACCTGCTTATTCCATATTTAGTTCTGCGAGACCCACATCATGTGTGCCGCTCTTTACTGCAACCCAGCAGAATATAAAATTTAGGGGCCACTCATTAAAACTCGCAGAAATGTACAGTCGTCTTGATTGTCGCATAAATTTATTTTCCATTCTTGTCTGTCACCCATCGAATGCTCTCCCAGAATCCGTAGTATCTGCATCGACACTAACAGTATTTAAAAGACAGTTGGGCCATGCACTCATCCACTTACACTTTGCTACTTAACACTACGCCTGTATCCTATACCTAGATTATATCTTTGAATTAGTTGTTGTTAGCTGTGGGTGCCGTGAGTCTAAGTGGATCGTAGGACTACAGCGGAGCAAACGATAATTCCTTATTTTCTTATTTAAATTATTAACTATTTTAATATCCTTACCATTCTTCTTTTTATGTTGATATACCCACCATTTATCCAACGGGACTTGTAGAGGAACACCTTTTAGCCCGTAAAAATCCACTGTTCCTTGTTCATTGTGCCCCATGCTGAGGCTGATGTCGCATTCATGATACTTCTTGATCGCAGTTGGGCTAAACCGACTGACACTTAAACTAGTTTATTTTAATGTGGATACAATTCATTACACTTTATTTGGTTTGTTCTGCACACTTGATGATCTTCTCCCAACTTACACACGTCGCTCATGCAAATTGTGGTAAACTTGTACAATTTCATCGCGTGGCATTTGTTAAATAACGTTCGGATATTATGTACTTATTGTGTATTCACATTTAACCCATTTCTTCCGTATGCTCATTTACCGAGTATTTATGTCGTCATATGCGTTTACTTTATTCGATATCGGCATTTCGAATGAATAGCTGTTGTCTGACATCCCAGATGTGGCTGCGCTTGGTGTGCATGTTGACAACGTGCCTAATTGTCTATTACCCACTACCTCGTCCATCTGGCTCCATGAGACAGTTGGCCGTTGCTGGAGGGGACGGGGTGCACGGTCCTTGTGGCCTTGTTAGGCTCGAAGAGTGGTTCCATGCACTCAGTGTGGAGCGGGCTACGGTCCAGCCACCGCCTTGTGTGCGCTTGATTCCCCAAACACATCGTGCTTGTGTTTGCCTGTGAAGGAGTGTGGGCCGGCTCCGTTGATGAAACGTGGCTCCCATCCGCATGCCTCCCGGTCTTATTCCTTCGGGTTTATACTGGATATGGGGTGTGTGGTTGGAGCTGTGGGTGGTGCAGCGCAAGCCACCCGTGGTCCCTCTGTAGACGCAGGCGTCCTGTGGCTGGCCACTTTGACAGGCAAATTCGAAACCGGATGCCCCCAACCATACTGTTGTGCTTTAAGCTAAGTGGGGTTTTTCACCTCAGCTTGTCTCACGTCTTCGTAGATAGGGTCACTCAATTCGGATCGCTGAGCGCTATTCAACTGGATGAACGATTTTGATTCAAGTCCAACGACTCGCAACACACAAACGACGTCTTCGGCAACTCATGAGTTTAGAACTACACGTGCAACCTTACTTGCGAAATGATGGCATCTTCGACAGCCAAGCAAATGGAACATGCCGTGGTACGGGAAATGAAATTCGCTGAACTCGGTTTAGGTGGTGGTATATTACGTTTTGCCAATCGTATATTGCTTAAAATGGAGAAACACACATGCAGAAGAGCCACACAGACTGGCGAAGAATGAACATCACTAGGAAAAATGAGCTTTGACGGCAGGAACATTAAACGGTCTCCAACGTTCTAGGAAATTTCGTGTGGCAATAGGATAAATACAGAAATTGGAGTAACACATCTGTAACTTGATGGGCAACAACAGTTGACCACTAGAGATAGAACGACTAACTCTGTAGCACATCAAATGTCTTGTGTACGACTTTAGCTTTTTCCACAATAGGTAGCACACAACACATTTGCACAACAAGACGTTACTGCGCAACAGAAAAGCGACACAGGTAAGGTGTCCAAATGTCCCAGAAGCCATTAGCAAATTTCTAAATAGCAGACAATCCGAGGAGCAAAAACATTGGACTAAGATTAGCTGCCAAGACGAACTAGCCATCCTCCTAGTCTTACACAACTTTTGCGTAATCCATCATCTGCGCAAGTAGCGGAATATTGACTAATGCCAGTGACCGTTTGCTCAACAGAAGACCTGGAAGATGTTTCCTTACCAAGCCTCAATTTAGTGAAATTTTCTGTTAGTCCTTGCATTTTTCCGGGCAGGCTATGGGCGCAAATGCCGAAGCCAAAATCTGACCCGAGTGCGACACGTCAAAATAAGAGGAACAAAATTAAAGTGGTTCATGGTACACTGGAGTGGAAGCGTGCCCACCATCAGAAACTCAAAACAGGACAGAGAATAATGGAAGCACATCACAACATTTTGTGACATGCAAAACGTTGTTCTCTCCTACGTCAACCATCTAGTTGCCTCCAAAAACTACCTTGGTAGTGGGCCATCATTTTTGGAGGAAACTTTGTTATGTCCGAAGTGGTATCAATAGAGTTCCAAACGTGACACGACAAAAGCAGAAGTGGGCTACCAAATTACGGTTAATAACATTCTTTCATGCGGTAAAGACATTACAGTCTGAGATGGCAGATTCCTTTTTTCCTACGTCATATCATAGAACGGTACCCAAATTGTGCCGGTCAAAGTGAACCTAGTTCTTAATACGTCAACAGTTATAATGCAGGTACACCAACGCTCCGGGACTGTAATCTAACCAACCAAAACTACGCCACTGACTTGAATCAAGTTCTTGGGTAGTCAAAGAAAGATTTGTGGCTTTCAAATGACTAATCAGATCCGGGAATTTAACTCACTACTTTGATATGCTCGGCAATCTCTCGGTGGAGACGTTGTTTCTACTAGCTAGCGTACTTGAAAGTGAGGCCTATATCAAGTACTTCCTTTTTATCTCTGACGCAATATTTTTCCGGTTTATCTCATTAGATGACGAGTCTACAGCCCTCATAAGATTCCTGCATACAGCGATGAATTTCTGTTGCACATTGTCTAACATACCGCTTCCAAAAATTTAGCTTATTACCTAATAACTTTGCAGCTTCAACGTATCCTCAATAGTACTGGCATCCACTTGTGGGTCGTCAGTCAAAGAAAAACTGGTTACGTTTATTACTAGGGAAAATTTGTATGACGATTTACATAAACTAACCGGACACCGCAATTCGTACAAGTCATTACAGTTGGACTTAATTCTGACTAATGCACAGTTTTTTGAGGAGTCAATCACATGCGACCTTCTACCTGGTAGTAGCGACCGCTCAGTCCTAAATTAGGATCATTTGAATTGTGCTAATCTGGTTAATAATTAACGCACAAGCTCCGAACAATCTCCGCAAAGTACAAGCTGCTGACCGTGCGCCGCTGCTTCATCAACACATAACTACTGAGAAGCATGTCATGAAACCAATATGCAGTGCAAGTGACTTAGACGTTATCGCACAAGAATGCCTTGGCAATTAGTTCCGATGTTCGAAAGCAGCCGATCTAGAAATTGTGACCTTTGATGAGAACTTGCGGCAAATTTGTCCGACGACAGATACCCTCGATGATTAACCAATATATTCATCTACCTCTTTGAATATACAGACTAGGTTTGACGGTAATGGCTAAAACTATACACTGGTGTCTTGAAGCAGCAGCAAAGACTAGCTACCAAGGACAAAAGTGGATTATCCATTATCTTTTACAAACTACGCGAAGTTTAAGTTGTTGTGTTCTCCACAAAATGCTTACGACTTCGTGGTGACCGCATTCTAACATATCGCAGGGTAACTGACAACATTCACCTTTATTCAATGCTGTCCCTAGCCCCTACAATATTGACAAGGCCATCCCCTGAGGCAGTTAAAGAAACACTCCATATTGGCTCAGAGAAAATATGGACACTCTCGTTGTACCGGTCTCCACCCACGTGGCGAATACACCTTCAACACTTTAAACTAAGAGATAAACGCCACACAATAATGTGCAAGGTCTAGACAGCTGCTATTATTATTTCCACGTTTAAACGCACTGATTTGCATTTGTAAATGTAGGTGTCACCCTGGGTGTCTTGTACGGTTGATTTGTTCCAATCGTGCATTAACGAACAATTAAATGGACTCATGGGAACATAACTGATTGAGATGTTGTCTGTGTTGACGGTCGCAGTTAAATCATAACTAGGTTGCAGCCTGTTTAATGGATGAAAAAGCAGGCGCAGTTACACGTGAGTTCTTAAGCTCACAGGTCTGATAGATTCCCATCGGTAACCAAACACAGGTTTTACATTTTAAATGCCACGTTTGCAACAAAACCAACTCACATTTCGATAGTTGAAATTAAGCTGAAATTTTCTTCCTGACGTTACCGTGATTCGCCAAACGCAGACTACTGGATGTGATGGTGGCTGCCAGAACGATAAACATCCATTCGGCCCACTCACCTCTCCTCTGAAGTGATCTACAACAGTAAATATAATGCTAAGCGGTGTTACCAATAAGCCATCGTACGTTTTGAAGACTAGTATGAGGTAGAATATGCGACCGAAATTACTTAGGGAAGTGTTGATTTCAACCATTTATTGCTAACAGATTCCCTTAGAAAATTCCAGACATTTTCAAACGTTATTTTGACGAGCATGGATTTGCATCGGTGGTACGGACAGTATCTATATATGCATAATCCTCAGCGGAGTTAACGGGTCACTAACAGGAAGAATGAAGTCAATTTGATCAATCACAACCATTGAGTCGAAAGGTGGCAGTTGCTCAGGTAATCTGATGAAAAAAATTTAAGCCTAATTTTCTTAACTAAACGATACAAGCTGTCTCAAAAGTCATAGTCTAACAAATATGACGTAATAGCTAGATATAGGTTCACTGGCCGCTTTTGATGATTAGGTTGAAGAGACGAAACTCACGCTCTGGTTAGTGTTACGCATGGTATGTCCAAGTGTGAACAAAATACACGATAGTGCACAAGATGAGATGCATTTCCAAATGATAGAACAATTCCATGATTTGATAAATCTCATTGGGAGTAGCTAAAGCGTACAAGATATGCAGAGTAAATTGTGAACCGGATTGCCACTTTCATATGCAACCCGAAGCCATTACAGAAGACACTGACCTATCTACTGCGTTTGTTGCTGATGTGCTGATCAATAGAATAGGGGTTCTCCGACTCGAGGATTATCATATAACACTCGCAAATTAGACTGAGGTTGAGCACATGGAGTACAGTGTTGTAAGCTGAAAGAGTTTGGGAAATCTTTTGGTCGAGTAACGGTATGGAACTGAATGTAGATAGTGGTATCCTGACAAACGCCATCACCTATGACCGTGTATGCAGTTAACAATGCATTGTAAACTGTGCTTATCAGTGCATTGTAAACTTGGGTTAACTAACCTTGAGGAGTTCGTAGAGGTGATGCAGCTGTGGAAAGACAAATAATGCTTCAGTAATTCCACTGCGAATGTATTTAGCTAAAATGCAATAATGCACCTCAGTCACAAACATGTGAACTGCCGTCAAACGTACAAAATATCATCGGCCTTTTCTTGCAAGCTTTGGTGATTGGGTGGCATTATATGGTCATAGACAGACAACCGGATTAGTCATGACTGAACTTCTATAGTGTATAAGTCAGCTACTTTTTCCAGACAAATTTAGTCGTAATCCACATTTGAAATATAGCATCTTACTTCCCAACATGGCCCAGAACTAAATCACCCAATACGCAAAGTGGTTTCTGTCTGCTCTCAGCTTTAGGTATCCACGTTTGACCAAAAATAACCTGAAATTAGTTCGTATAAGTAGGTCCATGTGGTCTATGATTCTTTGGCTAAACGATAATGTAGTTCAAAATGTTTGACAGAAAAAAGCAGTTGATCAAGTTTTCCGTAGGTTACAGTATGCGTCAGTTAATTTTATATTTGAGCGATTCCCATTCACAATGTCGAAACTGCACCTGCTGTGTTCCATAACATATATCCATCGTTATTATGCTACTATACGCGTGCATGAATAAGTTTGATATGTTTTTTTAGTATAAACAGTGTTTCGAACGCATTCAGCAGGTTGGGTTACTCGCAGTTATAATGTCACCTGTGAGATCCACTATACGGTTTATTCAAAGAATTAATCTGTCACCGAGCTCGTTAACCACATGTTGCCTGCTTCGTTATCGATTGAATTCATCGAAATGTTCATGCAATTCTACCAGACGCGTTTAGCAGTCTCCCAGATAAGTATTTAGATGAAAATAAAAGCCCTTCGACCATAGTCAGGTCGAAATGCTAACACTGCATGTCAAGTATGCTAATAGCAATGTGGCATAATGAGAAAACCATTTAGTTGGATAATTTGAGTTCAATTTTATTCGCAAAGCTGTCAAAAAGATAACTTACTCATTCCAGAAACTGAAATAGTAGAGGAGTGAACCAGGAAATGTAAAAGCAGTCTCATTTTACCATTCACCATTGAAACCGTTGGTCGTTTTTCGATATAGATCAAACTTTACTGTCTATGAGTACATGGTTTTTGTGTTATTTTTATTGTATGTGAACTCTTTACCACATTTTCTTGACACATAGTTGTGGAGCAAAGCTGCAAACGCAACCTCTGTTCTTCACATCAATATTTTCCAAATCGGTGCGATCACGTCAGAACATGATATTCCTTGCCATGATATTTCTTGCCTTACCAATTTTCCTTGTTCCACTTATTGCTCATTAAAGGATACAACGCTGATCCATACCCCAAACATCTGACCCCTGTCCTAATTCATCGAAACAATTTACTCCATTCTACCTCATTGTGTCCCAAGTGTCTAACCAGCTGTCCGTATCCGAACTTTTTCTTTTTTCGACCAGCTTATGAACAGATCATGTTTTTGTAGACCTGTCTTGTATTGCAATCATAATGAGTCTTTTTACTTACTTAAGCCGTGTCCTACATGCCAAGTAGCTTAAAGAGACTCAAATTGTTCACCCTGTAATTCCACTACTAGAAAAATTGCTTAAGTGCCAATTCACGATTTCAGAATTCGCGCACAAACTCCTGCGGGAGCATCATCAGGTAAAGAATAATTCAATTTCCCGTCTGCAAAATCTAGCTGAATTCTTTGGCTGGCAATTTTAGTCAAGTAAATATAAAATTTAAACACCATGAATGAGCAAGTTTGGCTATTTAAATTAACATTGCCGATTTACCATAAAACAGCGTTAATGAAAGTTTACAAGTTCCAAGGACAATACGAAGATTTACCAAAGCAAATGGTCTATCAATTGGTGCACCATAGCTTTTGCGTTGACTAAGATAAGTGGGAGAGGTAGCAAGATGAAATTATGATGCAAAAGACTGCTAAAATACAGAACATCAGCTAACGACTGCTTGGACAATATAGATACCGTACAAGCATGAGCAGTATGTAGGAGGTGACTGAGGTCATTTGGAGTACTTGATGCATAGTTGAGACTTATATCGAAATCTTTGGAAACGATAAATTTTACCGTGGTTTCTTTGTTATATCTAGCACTGTAAGAATGTTTACTGAGATAAAATTTAGGTTATAATACATGCGAGGAAACCGTGAACAAAGACAGGATCTTTTTAACCTGTGGTAAAGCACACGCATATTAATAAACCTTAGAATTATTTAAACTCGAGAGACAAGTTATATGAAGACCAAAATAAAATCTAAGGCTTGAAAACTGCAGGTGAAGGAAAAATGCCTTAATCACTCAAGACCAAAAGGGATCATGCATTTACAACGGAACAGCCCACCGGGAAGGAAAAAGCAGCACGTGCCATCAAAATAAAGGGAAGAATAAAGAAGTGAGACGCGGAGCATGTCAAACTTTAAATCATCGAACCCTCTTTGCATTTCGAAAGCTATTTCAATTACGTTGCTATACGACTTGGATGAATTCAACAGCAAATACACGTACGATACAAGTAGATATTATTGCATGACATTCAGCTTAGGGGAACGACAATTCCAAGCAAATTAACTACTAGTACCAGCCAGTCAATGCAAACAAATTTTTGGGGCGATCGTATTTTTTCTAACACAAATCCATCGGCATATACAAGACACAAAACGGCATGTAACAAATGGCACCCTGATTTGGGGGCACAACATTCGGAAGTATCAGTATAATTGCTTGTATAAATGAGGGATTTTAGCAATATCTGAGGAATTTTCAAAATTACAGAGGTGCACGTTATTGACCGATAATTGAAATCCTCTCCTACACGTCTGTCTTATTCTGGATGCTTTCTGGATCATTGGATGTTGCCTGGCAACAACTATTTCTAAAGGATCAGTGTAGGAAGTGCGTTTGATGCATCCATAGATTCTTCAAGAGCTTTTGGTATCAGGACATTTAGGTCACTATCCTTGTTTGCTCTAGACTTGTAATTTCCCTGCAAACATGGTGCCGTCAAATAAGTTCCGAGGATCAGTGATGGGTCTGTCCAAATCCGCAGTACGGAATGGGCTACAAGCATTTCCAAGGATAGTTTCTACAAGAGCCTCCACAGATAAAGGTAAATGCGATTACCCAAAATGGTTTGAGTGCACATGCGTTTCAACCTTCCAAAGTAAACATTTATAGCAAGAGACAGACAGGCGAAACTGGCAGTTATTTTACATTCATAAGGAGGCGCATTTTTCTTGCACGGTTGTTGGTGTAGTGGAGATAACATTTTGTCACTCCGTAGGTAGATTGTATCAAATGGGCTACACAGTTTGGAGCATAAATTATTACGGTTGTTGAGTTGATCGTATTTAACTGACATGACCTCATTTGCGGAACTTGAGTAGTCGGTTGAATAAAGCATCTATAAATCTCCGCATATTAACAGTTCTGGATGGCATTTGTCATCCTAATATAGTTTGTCTTACATTAGTCCTCGAACATGTGTATTGATGTACTGGTTCACATTACAGAGGTAGTCTGTTTTTGTATAGAAAACAAGCTGTATTTGTCCGCTAAGCCTGATGTCGCAGGTGCGAAGTGATGGACTTCTTTCGAAAAGGCTCTTTAGACAACACACTTACAAGCAAGTGTAAAGCAACTAATTGTGCTAGTGAAAGCGTTACTAAGGTTAATAAAGAAAATGGTTGGAACAAAGCTGATCAAATCAATCACTGCTAACATCGATCCACTCAAGGCAGGTCTCAAGACAGACAGTGGAATAAACAGTATCCTCGTTTTCTTTCAGCGTCTATTGCAAATAAATTCCCACCCCGCATTGGTACAGTTGTCGGCCAGTGGCCGTTTGGTAATCGGCCGTTGGCGGAGTGTATGCGCCTCTGGTTTGCACCCATAAAGTCACCTGTTCGAATCCGCGTAGCGGCGGGCTTCCTCGCGGTATACTTAGCCCACGCGGAACTGGTGGTGGTCACGTGGCAGCGAAGCGCCGTTATTGCGTGCAGTTAGCGATTAACCCGT